GGAATGAATCGACTGACTGACTTTTCATGTTTTGCTTAAGTCATATTTGTATTACAGTTACTTTTTCTTTTTTTTTGGCCGCACTGGGTGGCATGCGGGATCTTAGTTCCCCGACCAGGGATTGAACCCGTGCCCCCCTGCAGTGGAAGCATGGAGTCTTAACCGCCGGACCACCAGGGATGTCCTAAAGTTACATTTTTAAAAACAAAAATTTTCTGTTGAACACACTGCCTATTTCTAGATCAAATTCTAAGGGCTATGAATTGTATTGGTTATTTACCTCTACAGCATAGAAAACTTTTGTTTACATCTAAACATATTTGAAAAGGAAACAGCAGATGATAACCACCCTTAAAAGATGTTAGGATTAATCCTATGATCACGTGTTACAATTCCAGTAACAAAAACATGTGGTAGTATAATCCAACACCTATAATCTTTCTAACGAAGGGGATAATCCAACAAGTTCTGTCAGATGGCAGTAGTTTAAAAATAGTTATTCTATATTTAAATACATGTTCCAAACAGCAAATTTGTAATGAAAATTACAACTAAAAAGACAGGCCTTCTATTCAACAACAATGATTTAAATTATTCTGCTTAAAATGACAAGTTCCACTCCAGTGTTTTGTCTTCTCCTCTTCCTTCTCCAACATTCTATACATAGCTTTCTAAGAACCATCCCTGCTCTTCATCTCAGCTAGCCCTTATGTCCACTCCCCAAAATTTCAACTATCACTTTTCTGCACTTTCAGCTCTTTGATCAGCCTCTAGATTTCCACCCTAAGCTCCAGCCCATCATTTCTGATTTCCTACGGGACAAGGCTGAAACTCGGCAGCCAGATAAGCTTTTTTGTCCTATAACCACACCAATTTTCTTTCCAAGTCAAACTCTCTTCCAGACCGTACCTGTTTTATGGCACCATCAGGCTCAAATCCAGAAAGCTATGCTCCTCTGGACACCTCTTCAACCCTCTGCCCTCCAGGCGGGAGCGCAGTGACTCTCACATCCTCCCCTTTATCTTCCTCACCTGGCCTCCTGACAGGGCAGCTTCTCTGCATCTCTCACCCCCCTGCTCCTTGCTCTCTCCTGTAAGACTGCTGCATACTCCAATTCATCCTCAACAGCCAAATGAGTCTTCCTGAAGTAACACTCTAATTGTACACACCCCTGTCACATACCTAGGAAATCCATCTTAGGGGTCTTTGGGAAAATGAATTTGCGTGTTTGTAAAGTATTTTGTAAATAGTCAAGTGATACAGATGTAAGTTACCCTACCCTTGGAGGTTTATTTTGTTGGCGACTTTAGTTCCTCCAAACCCAGAAGCAAAGATACACAATCAGTGGAATTTCAAAGTCCTAGAAGTGGTCCAATGCTTATCAACTGATTGGAAAGAAAGTTTCACCTTCAAGGGTAATTTCTACCCACTCTCTCAAACTGCTTTCTGGGTTGGTTTACAGACACAGTAAGGCTTTGATTATCCCACCAATACTGGGCTTGTGGCTCTCATGTTGCCTTTCCAAGCCTCTTCATTTACCAAAGACAAAGGAATAAATGGCACACACCATGGCCATCTACAGGCGGACACAGATAAACACACACACGGAGGAGGCCACAAAGTTAAAAGTTTTAGGGCTCAAAATACGTTTCAATTCTTGCCATATAGAGTGGTTATTTTAAAATGTTCTTTTGCAAGACCAATATCAATGTTTACATTCCTCCAAAATAATGACTTGCTCTCTGATTTTCCAGATAATTGACTAGTTTTATTTCTGTGAAAAATGCCTTAAAAGGAAAGAAAACATTCACCGGAGGCATACTACATGCCAGAGCACTGCACTGAGCTCATTTAATCTTCCTAGTAATCCTATGAGATAGTATGTTCATTCTATAGATAAAGACACCGAGAGACCCAGGAAGAATAAACAGCTTTCCTTCAGGTACCTATTCAGTGGTGCATACAGTATTTCAAAGTTAGTTGCTACCAAAAAAGTAGAATGTTTCCCTGAATCCAAAGTCATACTCCTTCTACCACATCTTTCTGAATGGACAAAATTCCATTCAACAAAGTGAAGATTCAATAAATTCCTAATTTCCACTTAAAAAAAATCTAAGAGGTTATAAAGTAATTAAAACCATGATCTTTCGGACTTCCCTGGTGGTGCAGCGGTTAAGAATCCGCCTGCCAATGCAGGGGACACGGGTTCGATCCCTGGTCTGGAAAGATCCCACACGCCATGGAGCAACTAAGCCTGTGCACCACAGCTACTGAGCCTGCACGCTAGAGCCCGCGAACCACAACTACTGAGCCTGCGAGCCACAACTACTGAGCCCGCGTGCTGTAACTACTGAGGCCCGTGCTCTGCAACAAGAGAAGCCACCTCAATGAGAAGCCCGTGCACCACAACGAAGAGTAGCCCCCGCTCGCCGCAACTAGAGAAAGCCTACACGCGGCAACGAAGACCCAACGCAGCCAAAAATAAAATAAAAATAAATTTTAAAAAACCCCGCAATCTTTCCAAAGTATACTTAGTGAAGTGTAAAGATGTCAATTAAACCAATAATATCACAGATGTCTTAACTCACTTGTTAGTTAATATGGTAAGAAGATTCACACAAAATGTCTATTCATTAAATTTGTAGTGAATTCTGTGTATCCTATCAATGAGGAAAATAAACAACTTCTAATTCTAAAACAATTTTTCTAAACATTGTTACTTACCCTTTTTTTGTATAAAAATCCTAAGCAGTGGGTTGGCCGTTGAAACAGCTTTGTGATAATTATCATCGTTATTTATGGGTAGTAAATCTCCGTGGATGTCTGCATAGCCTACTAAAACGTCAACATTGGGTATCTTATGAACATGTTGCAGTAATCCATAAAACTCCTCAAACTTTCCAGGTTTTGATCTTTCCAGTGAAAACCGACGAAATTCAGCTCCAAACTATAAATAAACATATTAATTTTAAAAAAGGTAACAGGATCCAATCTTAAAATGCATGACAGAAAAATCACAGGCACAGTATTTCCCTTAATGAAGAAGACAGTTCCAATAACACGGTCTATTGTCAGAAACCTCATTATCAGGAGATAAAACAACATAAGGAAGGCACAGGAATGTGCTCACTGCTGCATCTCTGAAGGGCATTCCCTTCAAGAGATGCAGTCTCAACTTAATCCCTGGGGTGCCCAGGTCTCACTGGGGACTGTCCTGCAGAGTGACTCAGCTCAAACAAACCCCGTCTGGAGCCCAGATCCTGACAGCAGTATCTGCTTCTCACTCAGGCCATGGGGTAACAAAGATGTTCCTAAGTCTTTATTTTGACTGGTAGCAAAAAGCATCAAAGTTTCCCTCCCCATAAAAGGAATTACAATTTCACAAGAAGTGGCAAGAATTAACAGCAACATATACAAAAAGGACTTTGAGTTTCTTGGCACTAAGGTAGGATACAAATGGAGGTATGTCATATAAGAAACAGGTCTAGAGGTAAGAAGTGTCTTCCCTATGTTAATCTTAAAAAAAAAAAACCCACACACAATCCATTAAATATATATCCTACAACTCTCCAATTAAAGCAAAAGTGTTTACGTGCTTGGCACAGTGCTAGGCCCTAGAGAATGAAAGGCTCAGGCCTGCACCAGAGCTCAGCAATTAGTGGGGAAAGAGAATAACTATATGAGAGGCATTAAGGGATCACACAAACAGGGAAGATGACACTTCCATCATGCCCAATATTTATCTCCACAATTGTGGTTCTCAGGTCTGCTTCCCTACTCTAGATTCACACCTCTGCCTTCCAAATGCCAAATTATTTAAGTGATTCTTACTCAACACGAAGGCTTCATCTAGCCCATGATAAACAGGATCCATGACTTAACTATGGGACTAGCATGGCATTTCCTCAAATGTGGAAACATAAGAAAGATTCATCAGCCTTCCTCAAAAAGTGCCCCAGTCACACAAGTTTGGGAAATGCTACATAACTATAATTACACTCTTAGGAATCACTGTGGAGACCAGATATTAAACGCTCAGTTAAGTCCTGTGGTTGATTTAAAAAAAAAAAAAAAAAGTTTCTAAACAAATGTTTGCCAAATGTGTTTGACCACTGAACTCATTTTTCCTCTAAATATCTATTATTGGCAAGAAACACTAATGTACCCCTAAGACAGCCTTAAGCATCTTGCAGAGAAAGTCTCTATCAGAATAATTTGAGCAGGTTACAAATGCGTCAATTCATTTCCCTAAGGATCCCATGGTCTCTCTGAACTCACTGCTTTTGCTATCTCGAAGTTCATCTGCCTTGTTTATACCCAATGAAAAATTACTAAAACCACTTCTTACCTCTAACAAATCAAAAGTTTCCAAAACACATTCCTGAAACATAAACACTAACATCTGTCAAGAACATAAGGTGACTCATACCTAAAGCGCTCAAAAAGTGTAGTCATACCTTCACGTTTCAAAGTAAATAATAACTGGGGAACACCCTTCATATCAGAGTTAGTCTTATGATGTTATAAAACGTCATAGTTTCTTCTCCATTTTCTTTATTCTGGTATCACAACATCCTAGTGCTTTCTGATTCATCTCAGGGTTTTATTACTTCCCCTGGTGAATGGGAGTAACATCTAATAACTGAATATTTTAGGGCTGCAATGTTTTTGCTAAAGCTTGTGGATAAAAATTCTTTGCTCAACATTTTTTTCTCTTGCTTAAATGTTATGATAAAAACAATGGAAAATTGTATGGCTTCACAAGTAGATGTGCCCTTTTGCAATGTTAGCAGGAAAAAAAAAAGAGAAATTGTTATGCTTCTTGCAGCAAAACAATAGGATTAAGAGAACTTTTTACTACATGAAGTAAAATACTAAAATAGAGATAACATTAAGACCCAATCAACAACTATTATAACTTAGCCTGGTCTAGTTTGCCGTGGTCACCCAGAATGTGTATGGACACCTATCTCCCAGTATCTTTTGGTACACTATAGAAATGAAAACTTAATTTTAATATCGTTTGCCCATGAATAATAACTAGGAAATGTACAGCTCAAAGACTATTCCAAGTGTTTAATAACCTAAGGTTATTAAAGGACATCACCTTGATTATTAAGAGCTTTTCCAACTCTGGAGAAACAGGAAGATAAATCAGTTACCAAAGAAAACTCACATGGTAACTGGTATCACAACTTAACTATAGTTATATTTGCATTATCCATTACTTTATTTGTACCATTTTCCCCTTCCATGAGCAAAGATATGACGTTGACACTGTTTTCTGTGCAGAAGAAAAAGAAATCCTGAAACGTGGATCTGTACATCACCAAATTGTGGTTACAACCTCTTAGCGACCAGCTTTGTAGAAAGCTGTGATATCACCAAAGCAGTGAAAAAGGAAGTATTGTTTCACACATCTGTCCAAATATTTTTTAAATGGTAAAGATGCCAAATGTTTTATTTAATCCATTAAATATATATTTAAAACATAAGGTGCCACTGACACACTAGAAACAGCACCTCTACTGTGCCTATTTATCAGCAGCTAGAACACTAGTGGGACCACACTTTATGAGATGCAGATTTTCAGAATGCCTTGATTCTATTTAAGAGACACGGTTCACCAGAAGTCCAGTAGGGCAGGTCAAATATATAATGAGCAGTATGGGAAAGATTCACAAACCAGTTGACAGAAGAAAAGGGCGGAAAGCCTGAAATTCCAGTCCCCAAGCGCTCGAGGTTTCCTAGTCAGAGAGATAAATTACCATTTGACTATTTATCAGAAGACCTAGAATCCCTACTCATTTTTTCCTATGATAAAAAGATTAAATACTTGCTACCAACATTAGGACCACGAACTGAATTTTAAGATTATGCAACATCATAAATGTCTTTCTTTTCTTAACCTCAACTCCCACAAACCCAAACTAGATTTATGACAGAAATGCCATGAGAAGGTTCAACCACTGGCCACGGAACTACCACCACTATACTGCTAGAGGAAAAGCTCTATATATTTTGAGTTATCTTAACCCTTAGTTCAAGCGTGTCACTTCAATTTGCTATGGCAGTTCCACGGAGGACACAGGAGACAGCATATTCGTGAAACGGCTATAACTACATTTCTATTCTTATTAAGCAGAAGGGTTTCTTAACTAGTGCCTATGCTGATACACGAGTTAAGTCGAAAATAACATTTTAAAATAATGTGAAAAATGAATGCAGATACTCTTGATGTGATCATCTCAGCTACAGCAACTTACAGAACTTTGCTTATCAACTCCAGATAATAAAAACCATTCTACCACAGGCTCCAGGGAGCCTTCCTACTCTAGCTCACTGAAAATCACTCCTGGATTAGCATTCTCCTACCCCCTACCCCACCCCGTAGTCTAACATTCAATGATGTTTCATTATTCGTAACGTTGATATGCTTTTACTTTTCTCCTATTCTTTCATGTGTTTTGATCTTCCCAACTCTTATTTTCAATGTTCTCAGGGCCCAGCCCATGTCCTCTTTTTTCTATTCTATAAAGCCTAAAACTTATTTTGTAAAAGGTTTTAAGGTTTTGTCATAAAAAGCACACCTTGTCGAAGTCATAAGCTTTCTGAGCCCCCGTCTTCTCAGAGGATCAGACTAGGTTATCGAAGTCCCCTTTGGCTCTTCATGAAATGCTTGCTGAAAATGTTCCCGTAGCCGCCGACCATCTTCAAATTCCATCTCAAAACCCCCATTGGAAAGCATTCCCTCACTAATCCCTATACACCGTCCTGCTCAGGGAGCCCTGCAATTCAGGAATTCAGTGGATACTGACGTAATTATCGGCAGATTGGCGTACCGTTGGTCAAGAGTGAAAACACTTGATGTGAAAAGGGAGCAGGATGGAATGAAGAGAGCACCCAGGCGCAAACTGTGAAGTGCTACTCAAACGAAAGGCGATAGTGTTAATTTTACAGATTAAATGCATACCAAAGTTAGTGCTAGAAAAATCTCTAAGCAGGAAGCAAAGCTAACTTTACAAGGGCTCTTGAGTTCCCTGGGCTCTCTCCTTCACCACTTGATGCACCCTTGAGCCACAGAAAGGGGTAACATTTTGTGACCACGGGCATTCCAAATACTCTTTACTCAGAGGCCAGGAGGTAGAATTCCTCCAAACCTTTCGTACCACGCTGCGCTCAAACGCCTCCCATCCTCGGCTATACCTCGGCCCTTACTCCCATCCTTGAACAGGAATGATTTTTAAGGAGATAGATTAAGCGCTCAGCTGGCCTCCTCCCTACCTGGGGCAGGAGCAGACACAACCCCCCACGCTCGTCCTCTTCACAGCAAGCGTATTATCCACCATCTCCTGCCTCCAAATCCCACCATCGCGCTCACCACGGTCCCAGACAGCGGGCAGCTCCTCAGGCCGTCCCCGGCCAGCCCCTGGCCTCCCCCAGGCCCCGGGAGCACCCCCCTCAAGGCTCTGGCCGCCGGTCCCCATCTAGCCGGCCGCTCCGCCCAGCCCGGGCCCCGCGCACCTTGCTCTTCACCTCCATGGTGCCGAGGCAGCCACTGCCGGCTCCGTGCCGGTGGCTGCGGTTCATCCTGAGGCCTGGCCCGCAACAGCCTCCTCCAGCCGGGCCGCCCCTCGGAGCGCGGAGAGCGAGTGCCCGGCCGGCGGGCTCGGGACTCGGCTGCGGCCCAGGCACCTCCTCACAGGCACCTGCAGAGGGGCGACCGTGGCTCGGGTCTCCGCGCAGAGCTCCGCTCGGCTGGCTCCTCACGCGGTGGGACCGAGGGTGAGACTGGCGGCGCGGCGGGCGGGAACGCGGCTCCCTCCCTCCGGGCCTCGGCGACGGCCGCGACGGCGAAGGAGGAGAAGGGGGCGGAGCACAAGGGACAGGCGCCGCAGCCTAGCTCTCGTCCGCTTCCCCCGCGAGCCCGCGCGCGCGCACCCCAGTGGGGCGGGAGCCGCGGCACGTGCGCGCGCTCACCTGCAGCCTCCGTAGACGCCTTGGAGGCTCGCGCTCCGCCCACACCCAATGGGAAGCGCGCACCTGCGCCCCCAGCGCCAACCAATCGATACACGCCTCGCGCAGCGCGTGGGCGGGCCGCCTCCGCGAAAGTCCCGCCCTCCGCCGTACGATTGGTCCCACGCTGCGAGGGAGGGGCGGGATCACCTGAAGCCGTGGACCTCCTCTCCCGACCTAGCAGGAGAGCTGGAAAGCGCATGCGCGGGCCCTAGAGTTTCCGCCCCGGGAAGGCCGGCCGGAAGCGCGAGCGCACCTGGAGATGAGCTAGGGCGCTGGGCCTTTCGCGCACGCGCAGGCGCGCGCCTGGTTGCCCCGGACCCTGCTCGCGCGCCGCGGGGGAATGGGAGGCGAGGCCCGGCTGGTGCGGAGGTGGGGTGGGGCTGCTATGTTTCTGCCACCCCTTATCTCCCTTCCACTTTGGGATGCTGCAGCGTGCAGCTACGCCCTTCCACCACCCATTTGCGTCGTTTAGGGGTCTGGCTGCAACTCTGATTACAAAATTCAAGTTTTCCCGCCTCTGCAACAGTCACTGGGGAAGAATCTCAGGGCTCTACTGGCTTAGTTTTGTTGGTAGAGACTCTTTCTGCAGTCCGTCAAGTCCCATAGGGTCGAGTAGCCGCTGGGAGGGAGGGAAAGTGGGCAGAGGCTCGGGATGGCTCCGCGAAGGTCCGGCTTCCCCGAGTACTTCTAGACCGGCCTTCCAGGGCTTTCTTTTTTTCTTTTCTTTTAAATTTATTTTTAACCTCTGAAGTCTTCCTCTCCCTCCAGCCATTTCTGGGCTATTCGTTGTGTCCACCAATGACAGCCTCCAGATTGCCTTTGTCCCCCTCCCCCCAGTGGAATGACCGAGCTATGTCCCTGATAACAAAAGACTGACTCCTCTCTAAATGCCCCAGAGCTGGGTTTCTTCTCCCAGGGGCCCTTTTCAGCACTGGCCATGCTGGGGAGGTGAGTAGGAGACCCCCAACGCTCCCCGACACACGCTTGCAGGAGGCTCATCATGGCACTGCGGCTCATCAAGGAGCTGTGGAACCATCCTTTGAGCTGGACCTGGGCCGGCGGGCGGGGTTTCTAACCTGAAATGGCCAAGAAGATCTGGTTAGGGTGCTGCATTCCACCTGAGTCCTCCGAGGCTTCCTCCCCTTATCTCATGCCTCCAATCCCTCCTCACACTTTGCACCCCTCCTTCCCAGCACTTGTGTCAAGTTCCGGTTTCCCCATGTGTTTTGGGAGTCATCTGCTCCTGACCGAGAATGACGGCTCTGAGAAGGCAGGGGTCTGCTTTGCTCACTGTGGAGCAGTAGCACCTACCTGACTCCTAGCAGGTACTCAGATATGTCTCTGCTGGGTGCTGGAGCTGAGGAGGGCGATTTCTCCATACTAACTTTACCCCACCTGGGTTCAAAGGTGAGAAACCCATCTTTCCCCCTGAGGGGTTCAGTCCAGCAAATATTCGTGGGGGAATTTAAAGTTTTTCTGGCCATTTTGGGTGGAAGTCCAGATGGAAAGGATCCCATCCCAAGCTGAGTAATAATAAAACTGCCTTCTCTACCCCCTGTTCAAAAGCACCTACTATGTGACTCAAGCTAAACTGGAAATGAAGTGTGGTGCTGTGATGGGGCGGCATGGCAGTTTGGTCTCAAGACCCCTTAATACTCTTAAAAATTATGGAGGGCCTCCAGGTATTGTGTTTTTGTGTGATATGTCTTTCAACAGTCATTGTATTAAAATTGAAATTGAGAAATGTTTAAAACACAAGAATACACAAGCACACATACCAATAGTCATCAGGGTGATGATATCATCACATGTCCTGTCCCTTCTGGAAAATTCCACTGTATACCTGTCTGACAAGGAAGGTGAGAAGAGCAAGTGACATCTTAGTATTGTGAAAATAGTTTGGGCTTTGAGAGTCACCTGAAAAGGTCTCAGGGAATTCCAGGGACCTCTGGGATCTCTGTTCTCAGCTGTCACCTCCCAACCCCCAGCTGCCAGGGCCACATGCTGGGCTCTAGTTCTGTGGGAGCTATTGCTGGGTGGTGGAGCTTTATTACTGTTATCGGTACTGATTTATCAAGCCCCTTTTTAAAAAGGAAGTTCATGGGTGCCAACACACCTGCATGGGCCCTGCATTCCTGGAGGTGTCGTCACACCCTCTCTGTCCTCCCCCGGGGTGTGGCATCCCTCTTGGACTTTCCTTTCTAGAAGGGAGGGCCCGAGCTTTCTGGATCTCCTAAGTGGAATGTGCTCTGAGGCCTGCGTCACAAGTGCGCCTGGGCTGTGTAAGGAAGGAATGTGGAAAATAGTCTGAATTTGATAAAGGTGGTGTGGAGGAGGGGAGCCCTTTCATTCCGAGACGGCTGTTCCGGGCACACGTTTGTTCGCAGGGCCTGAAATTCAGCCTTTCTCAAGAAGTATGAAGCCCAGAGAAACAGCAGAAACAGAGAAGGGTTTATATTTTTGTTTCTTTGGTTTGAAAACTGAACCCTAATCTCATTTCTCTCCATCCTCCCTCCCCACGCCCAAATCCTCAAGCTAAAGCTGATCAAGTCTTACGTGGGGGATGAAAAGCTAGTCCCAGGCCTGGGAGAATTAATACTCAGTGAGTTAGGGAGATAAGCAAAGTGAGTGGATGACACAGATTCTATAAATTACAGGTTCACAAAATCATTAGTTGGGAATGATTATCACACCCACACACTGTCATATCTCCCCCCACCCCCAGCCCATCTCCACCCTCTGAAAGAAGCTAGCGAGGGTTCCATTTCTGCTTTATCCCCCTTCCCAATACTTTCTGTCTTTAGTTCTACAACTTAACACAACTCTTGTGTCTGTTTGAAATTTACCTTGTGAGGTGGAAAGAGCTTGTAATTTTCCACAATTCATTTTATTGATTTACATCTTGCATAACAATGCTTATTTCTTTCCTTCCTCCTCTTAGGGGGAAAAAAAAGAGGTGGCAAGAAATCACGTATAATGGTGAGATTGGTGAGATTTTTTTCAAGAAGTTTCTCTTGCCAACTCTTTTCCTCCTTGATTGCTCAAGTGCCAATTTTGATGGAGCTGGTTAATAATTCTTTGAGAGAGAGGTGAAGTGTACATTTATGAATCTCAGACTACTCACCAAAGCATTTTAAGCCCTTTGCAGAGTTGGAATTAAGTCACATGATCCGTTTTCTGGTTAATAGCTTATAACACTCACAGCTCGGGAAACAAATGAATTATCTCCTGTAGCTTGGAAGAAACTAAATGCCATTTTACTTAAAAACCCATCTTCATGGGAGGCAGCGTGTGCCAGGCACCGTGTGCATGAGCCCTGCCCTTGAGGAGCTTTGCTTTCTGACCTCTTGCCTCTCTGGGACTCAGTTTCTCCATCTGTAAATGCAGACGGATGAGATCATCTTCACAATCCCTTCAAGCTCTTAACATTCTGTGTACCCCGGGGATAACGGAGATTGATCATTATTTCAATTAGTTCATGCCAGGCATGAACTAGAATGAAACGCGTAACCTTTCCATCAGGGTCGATAGGCAGGCAGCAGTCATCAGCTAAAATATTCCACTTCCTAGGACGTGTTGATGAAGATGATGATAACTAACATTTACGAGGGTCCACCCTGGTGCTGGGAACTGTGCTAAGTGCCGTCCCCATGAACTATCCTATTGGCTTTTAAGGAGTATGGAAGAGCTTTATACTTGGAGGCCCTGAGATCTTAACTTTTTAAAGTGATAGCTGTTAATTTGAGCCCTTGCTCTGCCCCTTGCTGGCTGGGTGACTTTGACCCTGTTCGTTTAACTACTCAGAGCCTCAGATTCCCTCCTCAGATGAGAAACTATACATGAAACTGCTTTGCAAACCATCAGGTTCGGTGAGAACATTGGCGGTTATTATTTAGCACATAATATTGCCTACCAAAGCCTTTGGTAGAATTTCAAGAAATTCTTTGAAATAAAACAGAAATGTGTAATAAACCATTCTTCTTGCTTTCACACGGGGTGACCTTTTAGTGGCCATCTCTTAGAGAGGCTGAGAGGCAGCTTAGAGGAGTCCTTAAGAACGTGATTCCCAGATGCCCACCTTCACTCCTGCCTCTGGCATTTCCTACCTGTGTGACCTTGGGCAAGTTCTTAAACTCTCTGAGCCTCAGTTTCCTCACCTGTAAAATCAGGATAATAGGAGCATTATTTGTCTTCATTCATGTACAGAGCACTTAGGGCCCAGCACAGACTAAGGACTCCTTAAATGTTACCTATTATTGTCATAATTGCTGTCTAATTATTTTTATTACCTACTGCCATAATAGAATTCATTAATGTAATAAGTATTTATTAAGCCTCAACTGTGTATACAATACGGTCCTTGGCATGGAGCTAAAGAATAATTAAAAAAAAAAAAGAATGAAGGTTTGATTTCTACCATCTAGAACTTCACAGTTCACATAGACGTTGGCTCAGCAAGCATCCTTGAATGCCTACTAAGGAACAGGCAGAGACAATACTATGAATGTGTGATCAAGTTCTTGCCTCCAAGAATCCAGAGTCTAGCTGAGAAGTCAGACCCTTGGAGAGAT